AGCCAACACTACATCCGTCTGACACAGTGTAAACGAATTCGGTTAAATGAGTACGAAATACGACAAATTAACATGAATTGTGCAATCGAAGTGAGATAAAGGAATACGAACTACAGACAAGGCACACACTCAGTAGAATGATGAGAATAATAAAAGGCCAATACTGCACTGCGTAGATCAACCAGTGATGAGAAAGGGATAAGTATCGCAGTAATTGCGACAGGCCAGTAGAGGGACCATACTTACATTTTTTAAGGATTCCTTCCGAAGGCCCATTTCTGATGCATTGGGTTTCCGTTTTTGGGTCTCAGTATTTAGTCTTGGGACCCGCCTGACAACAATGCTCGTATATTTTGGTATTAACTCATTATCTTTGGTGTATTCTCGGGGAAAATAATTAAAATAAATTAACCTACCTTTACCGGAACTGTCTTCGAGCTTCAGGTCCAGATCCGTCGAATACAGACAGCACTTAGTCCTTATAGCGTTTTTTAAATCTTTAACAGATATTGCTGATCCGTCAAAGCTTATGGAATCGGTCTTGACATTGGCTTTAAACTTAAAATAAACCAAGGACGCCATCACAGCACCCAGGGCAATTGAGGAATAGAAACCACTTGCAAATTAAAACAAGCCTCCTCATTCATATTCATCAAGTTGATCAGGCTTCAAATGATTTTGGTTATTATCACTTAAATGCTCAGATTATTCATGGATATATTTTAAGAGCGTTTACCCGCTGATATTCAAAAAAGTTTGACATCCTGATCTCAAGACCTTATGGTCCCACAGCTGACTGAACTTGTGGACAGGATGATAGAGGTGCAGCGGTACCAGCCGCCCTCCATTGCACGGATCTCTACACCCTCGTTGTAGAAAGGGAAAGAGCACTTGGTGGAACGGAGAGCGGCCATTGCGGATGAGTTGGCCTCTTTGAAACTACAGCTTTCATGTTTTACTTCCCGTCGCTCATGTAGACGTCGTCGTTCTCGTTCATGATCTAGAACCGCTGGCACCCTACCAAATTCGGCTCAAAGGCCGTCTTCAAGCCAGGCCGCCAGAGAATAAATATGATCATTTTCTCTGGCTCCTCCAGCCCTGGTCTACAGCTTCACGCTGCCCAATATTCCCCAATTCCACGTTTGGTACCCGATCCCTCACCCCTAGTCATTGGTATTCGTTGGATTTTTGTGATTGCCGATGTTCTTCGTGTAATCCTAAGATCATACCTCCTAGCCGAATTTTATTTTATTGTTAACTACAGAAGTTTCCGTGTTCTTGACCGAATAACTACTCTGTCTGTTTATGATCTACCTCCCTTCATTCCCTCTTGTGACTTATGTGTTCTGGATGCAGATATTGGTTTTCCTTTACGGGAACTGTTTTGTAAGCACTCAAATATTATCAACCCCCAGCTTCGCAGTGGTGACATTCAACATGATATTGTGCACCGCCTTCGCACCTCAGGCCCTCTTGAAATTGCTTGGCCTAGACGACTTAAACTGGCCCGTTTGCAGCCCGCGAAGGTGGACTTTGAGCACATTATGCAACTTAGAAACACCCGACAATCCAAGAGATCCTGGGCGTTCTTTCTGCACATGGTACCCAAGACAACATCCGGCGACTGGAGACTCCGTAGCGACTACCGTGCCTTTAAGTCACTTTAAGTCACTTTATTAAGGGAAGAAGGCTTTCGCCCTT